CGGCCCCAGGGGTCGGCGGATTATAAGGCCAAGAAGCTACCAAGATTTTTGTTATAGGTCTAAGAAAAGGAATGAATCGCTGTGTTTTTTGCACCATAAGCCTACATAAGCCGTCTGAACCTTTTTGGAGGACCAGGACGGATTTGTGTTCAGTGTTGATACTGTCCAGTCGAGTCTAGGGTTAGTGTGACCCAAGTGGTAATTTCCATGAGGAATCCCGTGTAGCCCCCAAGAGACTGAAATCTTTTGTGTGGCGACTCACAAAGTGTGCTGCTCATGGCTGCAGAGGCTGCTTTGAAGAATTTCGGGCCATCCAATTTTTCTTTTGAACCTGTTCGGGCCACCCATCAGTCCAGGCCGATAGGCTGATACTTTGAATATTGTCTGTTTCAGGGCCTGGAAAGGCTGCTAAGACGTAAGGCCTCACAGCATTCGTTTGCGTATCTGTTCGATGAATTCTGGCACAGATTGAGAGTTGCTGTTCTTGGCCCGCAACGTCAACACAAGATGGTGCCATGAGGGTGCCCGCAACAAATCATACGTTACATCCGTAGTTACCATTGCAGTTTGAACTGGTAGACGACGCTGCTTCTTCAAAGTCTGGTAGTATTGCTCCATCAGCGTCTGGTCCCAAAAGATCCCGAAGGCTCAAGACTTCGGGTAAGCAATGCGATGCTTAACTTTTAACGCAGTTCTCTGTCGGTCTCATTAGCAAGTCTCGTCACCTTCATGAACCACTTGCAGGGAATTTGGAGAGAGTTGTATCTATCGCAGGGGGTCGAGGGGTAGGTGTGATTTTAGCAGGCAGTTTGCCGACAACACTACACGTAGTTTGCACAAGGATATTTGTGAGAACATTGTTGGGGTTGTTACTAGCCACGCAGCCTTGTCCTACCCACCCAAAAAGACGAACCTCCGGATGGTCAAACCGCATTTTGCCCTGAACGGAGAGGTCGACTACATTCGCAAGTTGCCAAAGGCTCTTCAGCTGCGGGAATGATAAGGTTCGGGAGTTTAGCCGCAGCGAATTGCCGCCTTCTTTATGCGTGTGAGGTGTATACTGGTTCAGGAGTTCAGAGACGTAAGTCTCCAGTGTGGCATGGAGGACACAGCAGGTGCCTTGAGGGTGAGACATGCCTAAGTCTGCTTGGTATTCTGAGGGGTGCATGCAATTCTACGATTCTTCTTTCAATCTTGGATCCTGAAAGGGTCCATGTAAACGTATAGTCGGTGCTTAGGTCCCCGGCGGGTTCCCATATCTATTTGGCAGCCCGAGTATGTATTGATGAAGCTTTCGGGGTCTTTCGGTCGATCCATGGAGAGGGGGCTTCACCAGATATACAACCCGACGACGTTAAACACATCTTGGGAATTTCCCTACTGTCTCAGACTTTCTGCAGCCATGGCAGCTGCCCACGGGCTGTTGTTCCTGCTATCCATGGGACAGGGCAGTATCGACTCAATTAGTTGACACCAGCATTGCAGTACCAGCATAAGTCCGATCAATGATGCCAGCTGGATAGCTCTTAAACATACCTCCAAGCCCTGACCAGGCCCCAAGCCCTGAACCCCAAACCCTGACCCAGAGCTCAACTATTAACAGGTGCAGCTTGTCCGTCTGGGAGAGCGGCGGGGGCTAATGCAGCAAGCTCAGCAAGTACTTAATTTCAAGTCTCCGTGTTTCGGTTTGTTTCTGAGATGGCGATGCTGGGTTTGGAACTTTTGCTTATGCAGGTAGCTCCGTGCTCAGAGCTTCCTTACCTCCGAGCCACGTTTGACCTCGTGAAGCATGAAGCAAA